AGTAGATCTTGATTGAAGCACATAGTTCACCTTATGCAATGCATCCTGGAGGTACTAAAATGTATCGGACCATTAAGGAGCACTATTGGTGGAGTGGTATGAAGAAAGACATTGCAGAGTTCATTTCTAAATGCTTGGTATGTCAACAAATAAAGGCTGAACATCAAGTCCCAGCTGGTCTCCTGCAACCTTTGTCAATACCTGAATGGAAATGGGAAAGGATAACGATGGACTTTGTTTCTGGACTTCCACGCACTCAAAGAAATCATGATGCAATTCGGGTCATTGTAGATAGACTAACTAAGAGTGCTCATTTCTTGGCAATCAGAATGGGCTACTCACTTGAACGTTTAGCAGAATTGTACATTAATGAGATTGTGAAGCTGCATGGAATCCCTGTTTCTATTGTGTCTGATAGAGATCCGAGGTTTACATCTAGATTTTGGTCTAGCTTGCAAGAAGCTTTGGGTTCCAGGTTGAATTTTAGTACCGCTTTCCATCCACAAACGGACGGCCAGTCTGAAAGGGTAATACAAATCTTGGAGGATATGCTTCGAGCCTGTATTATTGAGTTTAAAGGTAGTTGGGACAAACACGTAGCCCTAATAGAATTTGCTTACAATAATAGCTATCAATCAAGTATAGGCATGCCTCCTTATGAAGCTTTATATGGGAGAAAATGTAGAACGCCTCTTTGTTGGAATGAGGTTGGTGAAAGAAAATTTGTGGGTCCTGAGATTGTGCAACAAACTGAAGATAAGGTAAAAATCATCAAGGATCGTTTGAAAATTTCTTCAGACAGACAAAAGTCCTATGCTGATCTTAAAAGGCGTGAAATTGAGCATCAGGTGGGCGATAAGGTATTTTTAAAGGTTTCTCCATGGAAGAAGATTATGAGATTTGGCCAAAAAGGTAAACTTAGTCCTCGATTCATTGGACCTTATGAAATACTTGAAAGAATTGGTCCGGTTGCATATAAGCTAGCTTTGCCACCTGAATTAGGTAAGATCCACAACGTCTTTCATGTTTCTATGCTTCGAAAATACCGCTCAGATCCATCTCATGTTCTTCCTATTGAGTCTATTGAGGTTAATCCTGATTTGACATATGAAGAAGAACCAATCCAAATCTTAGCGCGTGAGATAAAAGAGCTTAGAAATAAGAGAATCCCATTAGTGAAGGTTCTTTGGAGAAATCATTCAGGCGAAGAAGCTACCTGGGAGCGAGAAGAGGATATGCGAGTTCAATATCCACATTTATTTCGGGACTAGTACAAGGTAAATTTCGAGACGAAATTTTTTTTAGGGGGAGAGAGTTGTAACATCCCAAAATATTTTATAATATTTGCATTCTTGATTGGGCATTTTTATAACGAGGAAATATTTTACTTTGCACTTCCTAAATGTGAAATGGTCAATATATGAAAATTTCTTACTTTAGGTTGTGTTAATATTGGCAATGAAGTTTCATGATGTTGCTATATGTAACACTTAATATTATTTTGACTAGTTGTTATTAAATATAATATATAATTAAGTTTTGGTTTCCAACCTTTTGTATTTATCTAAGAATATTTAGTAGTTGGGTAACCATTTTGTTTCTACTCTTCAAGACAAAGAATCCATCTCTCTCTTTCTATCTATCTATCCCTCATTCTCTCTATCTCTCTCTATATCTCTCCTCCGTAGAAACTTGAAAATTTAAAGTTTCATGAAAAAAACCATGGATTTCTACTAAATCAACAAGCAAATTTCGTTTTTGGTGAAGATCAAGTTGCTCCTCTTGGTAAGTTTCTAAACTCGTTTTTATACTAGACACCTACTAGAAGTTTCTACATATCTTTTTGTACAGAGCTCCGATTTCAGTGATCCAGGACTTTATGGAAAGTTATTTCATAAATCTATAACTTTTATGAAGGAACCAAAATCTAGTTTTGTTGGTATTTACCTGAAAAAGGATCAGAAAGTACAGGGCAGGTGCTGTCCAGATTTCCAATTTTAGAAATACTCAATGTACTGCTGTTAGTAATTTTAGCATAACGTTTTTTTCAAAATTGATATGGAGGTGATTCAAGATGTTATGAAACAGTAAGCCATAGATCTACAACTTTTGTGAAGACCAGAAAGTCTAGTTTGTCCGTGTAGATCTTCAAAACTGAGTCACAATCCAGAACAGTGATACTGTCCAGAATTTCTGTTTCAAACGTTTTTGGGTAATTTTCACCAATATCATATTTAGTTTGACTTGCTAAATCGCTGAACTTATTTAGATACTTGATTATATACTTGAGGAAGTGGACAGATTTGGTTTGTTTACGGCGTAGATGATTCGAACGTCCCCAAGTTGTGATTGAACTGTTTCGTGGTAAAACACCAAGGTTTGTGTATAAACTTGTACTCTTTTTACTTGCTGGAATATGTTGAAATAACTTGATACTTTATTTTTCTTGGCTTCAATTTATATTGTTATATTCGTACTATATCAAGTATTGTAAGATATTTGCTAAATCGCCCATTCGTACGGATTGTTTGATCATTTTGCATTCTTGTTGGGACTTTGTCCTTCTTGTGGCAGTGACTTTGTCACTCATCGTGGCATGCCTCTTGATTTGGATCTTTTGCCATCTTGACTTTGGATTTGTAGTTCGTCTTGAATTATGGAACTTGTCCGTGTTAAGTACAAACTAGGAAGCCATTTTTAATATGGTTCTTGATTCTCTTGTCTATTGGGTTTTGATCCTACTTGATTTGGGGCTTCGATCCATCTTGATATCTGATTATGCTTAGTGTGATGGCATGACGTACATATTGGGCGAAAAATGGATATTTGGTATACTCTCTTAAATTGATAGTATACACTTTCTAGACTCTTGAACATTGTTATTGATATTTGGAAACGCTTCAAAGTTTGATATTGATATGTTTGATATATTTGTTCACTTGTTTTAAATTATGTTAAATTGAGCTAACTATGACTGAAAAGGGGAATTAGAGAATTTAATAACTCCAAGCCTAAAGTTTATACACCACTAAGCTTTATGCTTAGCGATAGTTGTTTTCTATCGTAGGAAATGTTCGGGATGCAATCTGAAGATGGCCAGGGTGAAGTAGTATTTTTGGGAGAATTTATGGAGATCACATTTGCATATGCACCTTGGTTTGCATAGTTTTGGGACATGTACATGATATACATGATATACATGATATATAGGATATACAGGATATATATATATATATATATATGTCACACTTATGTTATTTGGAGGCTTGTTGGATTTTAAAGACCAAAATCTTGTAACTTGAATTTGTAACCTATTTTATTGTATTAGGGTGTTTTAATAACTCAAGTCTTGTAATATGCTGAATTTACACTTTGTCTTGTAAATATGTAGAAAAGGAGAAAACTAGTTTCTTTTTTTTTACCCGATAGTTTGAAATTTATGTACAATACAAACTTGTAGTGATTTTGAATGATTGTATAAATCTGTTAGAAAGTTGTTTTAATCTGTTGATTAATCCAGAAAGGTTATATCACCATATGTTATATTTTGACATTGTATTTCATTTAAAATAAAATTATGGTGTATTTTCAAAAAAAAAAAATATATTGCACTTTAAACCTTTTCGCATGAGCCTGCTTCCGCTACTAAAATTATTCTGAATATTTTTATTAATATCTCTTTTAATGTTTTGTAAGTAGGAAATTAGATTTGTTTCCTAAGTAGTACCCTCCCAGAGGGGTTGCTACAAAATTAATAATAATATTTAAGTGTTAGTTAAAGTAATTACTATGAGATAACAAGTAGGAAAATAACTTTCGCCATAAAGAAAGTCATTTTCCCTCTTTTAATCTTAGGACACACCTTCTACTGATCAGTAGAGGCTATTCGATTACATGTGTAAACGAACTTAGTAGTTTATGTTCATATTTTATATTTGTCTTGTAAATTCATGAAATATAATTTATTAGTTTAAAACTTAATAATTTAAAATTTTAGAATCTCAAACTCAAAAATTTCAAATCTTGGATGGTTGATTACGTCTCGTGAGTCGTGCCCATGGTATTCCACGAAGCTAATTTAAGAGGAACTCATTTCCAATTTGAACTGTCATTATTCCCTAAAATGTATTTTAGTGAAGTTTAACTCAATGTGATTATCTACCTAATGGTCGGAGCATCACAAAATGTGAACACCTCTATTTTCTTGTTTTTCAATCTTGAAAATTCCGGTCGTCAAAAAAAAAAATTAAAATCCATAAAAGGAAGGATGAATTTTGATTGAAATACATTTTCCATTTTTATTCATGTCTTAATTTATTTTTCTGACTGTTATTTTAAAAAAGAATAATAATTCTTATATTTTAAAAATATTAATTACAATATTTCCATTTTACACGTAATGATACTCCTACGAATGTTCATGACCATAATTTTTTTCATGTTCAAGACCAAAAGATTAAGTACAATATTTTCATATGCTATATCATCTTTGATTTAAAATCATAAAATTCATAACTTTATTAACTTTTTTAAGTTTCGTGTCCAATTAAATTAAAACATGATAAAATAAAATAAAATACTTTCACTCATTAGAATAATGTCATTGGCATATAAAATGTGAAAGAGAGTAGTAGTATTTATTATTTAGGCGTATAGGCGCTTACTATTTTAAAAGTAATTTTAAAGCATACTTTACGAATATATAACACTAGATCTACGATCTCATCGAAAATCCAACAAGCTTGCATCACTTACGACAAGATCTTTCTATTTATTTTTGCCTATCTTTTTTTAAAAGCAAAAAAGAGAAATTTAAAAAAAGTAAAAAAAAAAAAAAAATCTAGTCAAAACTCAAAGCTCACGTTTTTCAGTTAATCAAATAACAGAGAAAATGGTCCAAATAGTAACACATTGGAAAGTCATTACGAACGTGCACTAACTATTCACCTGTCGGCTTATTGCCATTTTTTAATACATATAGGAATCTTTAAAAGCACATTTCCACTATGTGTGTGTGTGTAAATGATCATTCAATAAAATGGACCTTACTCTAACTTCCACTTTCCGACCATCTTTACCACCTGAATTCTCATTCATTCACCGGAAAATTAACCAACCCATTATTCTCCATCATAATTTGAAGTGTAAACCATTAATTTCAAAGAATAAAGTGATTACTATGGCAATTAAAAAGCCAAAAATTGAAGGTGTAAGTGAAGCATTAAATGAAATTGCTTCACAGAATTTGGATCATGCTCCTGCTAGAAGAAGGGTTCGATCAGCTTTTATTGCTACTCAGCAACAGCTTGATCATATCTTATTTAAGGTTGGTTTTGTCTTAATTATGTTAAATTTAGTGTTTTTTGGTTTTCTTGGAGTTAAAGATCAAATTTTTAATGTAGATTTTGATTATTTTACTTCATAAGTGATTCTGATCATGTCTTCTTTAAGGTTGGTTTTGTCTTAATTATGTTAAATTTAGTGATTTTTGGTTTTCTTGGAATTGAAGATTGAATTTTTAGTGTAGATTTTGATTATTTTACTTCATAAGTGCTTCTGATCATGTCTTGTTTATGGTTGGGTTGTCTTAATAATTTTAAAATTAGAGTCTTTGGGTTTTTTTTGGAGTTAAAAATATTTTTGTAATGTAGATTTTGATTCATTTACTTCATAAATAGCAGCTTGATCATGTCTTGTTTAAGGTTGGTTTTGTCTTAATTATGTTAAAGTCACTGTCTTTATGTTTTCTTGGAGTTAAAATTAACTTTTTGATGTAGATTTTGACTATTTTACTTCTGGAGTGATTTCTAAATTTTTTTGGTTTTTTACTTTATGGGGTTATGCAGATGGCTCCAGCTGATATCAGAGTAGAAGAGGTATTTTACTTTATTTTATAATACTTTTGTGTTTGTAGCAGAGTTTTGTGCATGACTAATTGTGGGAAAATTAAAAATCTTGATTTTAAGTTTTGTGGTTCAGTTTTGCTCTGTCTGCAATGTCATTGAAGTTGATTGCATATTAGGAAGGATGAGGTTGGTTTGAAAGAAGGATGAAGTCCAAATTAGGAAAGTGAAAATGGGTTCTGTAAGATGAGGGAGAGAAAGGAATGCATGTGTGTGTTAGGTGAAACAGTCTGGTTCTTGCCCTGGGAATGGCGCTTTACTCTGATCCCTACGCGGTGCAAATCTGGATTAGCCGGGCCGGTGGGTACCGTATATCATATTATTATACAAAAAAGATGGTGAAACAGAAGGAAAAAAGTTTTGCAGAGCTTTCCTGGATGTCTAGACTTTGTTGATTATGAAATAGTCACGACTATCACGGCTATGGAATCCGATTACTCTTAGTTTTTCTTTCATTAAAAATGAGTGACAGCTCTTATTTGTTGAAAGAAAGGTATGCAAGTGATGTTAGGATGATTTGTTGAGAGCATGTCTTTTCTAGGGCTTCAGTTTCCAAGTTTTGGGTCATTATTGATACTTCTCTTCATTAGTTTATGCCCTGTCAATTTACTGGTGCATCCTCCGTCGATGTATTTTAATAAAATTCATATGTACTAATGCAGAAAAAAAGAGAGGAAAGAAGGTTGACAGTGCCTTGAAAGAAGATCTAAATTACTGCAAAAAGAACATAACTGAAATCCATTGAACTCATCAAGGCTTATTTAAAATATAGCAATGGCTTATACGTTTAGGGATTATGGACATATATGGCACATTGTGTTGTAAACTTAACTTTCTTGCCAGTTAGATTTGTCTGTTTGATCGAAAATTATGCAAAAGCTGCCTTTTCTCTGGTTCTTAATTGTTAACTTTGTAAGATCCTATTTAGGAAAAGGGGTTTGTATCTCTTCAAATTATAATATTTGCACATGTACATTTTGTAGTGGTATGAAACAAATTCGAAAGGCCAACAGATTTTCTGTAAAAGTTGGCTGCCAAAGCCAGGCGTACGAATTAAAGGTGCTTTGTGCTTTTGTCATGGATATGGTGATACCTGCACTTTCTTCTTTGAAGGTTCGTTCGTTATTATCTCTTTAACTCCAGAACCAATTGTAGCATGACTCTGTTCATTATTATCAACAAGTAGTAGCCTTTAATAATCTTTTGTATGATTTGTTGATTCAGGTATTGCAAGGTTTATTTCGGCCTCTGGCTATGCAGTCTATGCGATTGACCATCCCGGTTTTGGTCTCTCGGATGGTTTGCACGGATATATTCCTGAATTTGATGGTATAGTTGACAATGTCAATGAGCAGTATGTGAAGATAAAAGGTATGTCGCAGCGAGGGTGTGCTCTGTCATAATTTCATAGATAATGACAATGACCGATTAAGGTGTGTTATGAACATTTGGACGTGTATTTTTCACGACTTAATCTAATTCTTTTTAGAGTATGCTTCTCGTGTGAAATTTTAATGATAGTTTCTCTTGTGATGGAGCAGGTAGGCCAGAAGTTAGCGGGCTTCCCTGCTTTATATTTGGGCAATCAATGGGAGGTGCAATTGCTCTGAAAGCTCTTCTAAAGGAACCACGTCAATGGGATGGAGTTGTCCTTGTTGCGCCAATGTGCAAAGTAATATTATCTTTAGCTCGACTAACTAACTTCTTATATTATCGTCATCTCCAAGCTCCATTATCTCAATTTGTTGAACATATTTATTGTGAACTGAACCAATGTATTTATCACCCCTTCTTTTCTCCTAAAAGTTCAGAATGTCTGGATTTCTCTTCATCTAACTAAAATGCGTTAAAATGATCATCTCAACAAGTTCAGTATCTTAACACTTGAATATGTTCAATGGTTTCAAAGATTGCATAATTTTCAGTTTTGCTTGTGATCATCCATCTTCATTTCCCGAATACCAAATATTACGTGTCTCTTCGGCCTTCCATTTGAATCTTAGGTTCTTAAATTTTCTTAGACTCAAGACTTGAGAGTTCATAAGCTAAATAAAAAGAAATAGGCTAACTCAAGAGTTAACAATTGAGAGTAACCAACTGTTGTCAAATGAAAAATAGGCTAACTCGTGGAAATTATGTTGGCCATCCACAAAGTTGTACCAGAAAAAGATAATTGATTTACAGACAAAACTCGGTTTGCTTCATTGTCACTCACTGATACTAAAACACTCAACCGTCATTTTGATTCATTGCTCTATACTGTTAACAAATTTTAGCTTTCTGAGTAATTGATACTCATGCTGATTGCCAGGAATCCTGCATATTTTTAGCCCTCTTTGCTTTTTCAGTCTTGTCTTCTCTTAATGAGGGGAGACCTGCAAGAATAGTTACGGACTTATGGTAATAATCTGGTTTCAAACCGATGCATGCTTATCCTGAAATTCTTACCGACATGTGAAATTCTCCATGCTAATATTCTCCAGAGAATTTCAAATTTTTAGGTACCAACTGTTTGTTTTTTTGTTTCCATTTGCTTCTTTAAAGATTTGTCCTAATTTATTCTCTCTACAATGTGGTGTTTCTATCAGAAAAGCTTTGTTTATTGCGAAGGCTTCTTAGATATTTTCTTTTTCACCACTAAGTATCAAGGTTGGCCTGTGCAATGCTTCTCATTTCTCCATACAATATGAAACGAATAGAGTCCATTCTAATAAGCAATAGTTTTGTTGCCAGAAAAATGTCAGCGTATCAATCTTGGATGATTCATTGTAGAAATAAAACATTTACAATATAAAAATTCAAGATGCACAGGCCTCTTTATTTCATGTAATTTACATGTTCCTCTGAGCATTTCCATGAAATCCTGTGCGTCTTGAATTTTTATATTGCAAATGTTTTCATGTTTGTTGGAAGTTGAACATTCTTAATGCTAGAATTTCGCTGACCCTGTGGTGTTGCTAAGATTGCAGAAGACATGACGCCACCAGTTCTCCTACAGAAAGTCTTGATTTTTGTATCAAACGTTACGCCACAAGCAAAGATAGTCCCTACTAAAGATTTGGCAGAATTGGCATTCAGGGAGTTCAAGAAAAGGAAAATGGTAACGCCTCTATTTAGTCTCTAATATGTTAAGTTAAAAAAGAATACTAGCCAAATGATGACTACTCTAACCTTCAGTTTGAAAAAACTATTCGCATACATGGTTAGCCTGGACATGAACTATGGAGAATTGCCGAATTTGAGAAGAAGAGATAATGAATATTAATAGTTGCAAAAAGCAAAAGAATGCCCACCGCGCATTGGTGTTCAATGTATTCTTAGCACAGCTCTGAATTGATGGTTTACTAAAGCTAGTTGTTGTTTCATTTTCTTCTAGGCTCCATACAATGTAATCTCTTACTCGCATAAAACACGCGTGAAAACTGCTGTTGAACTCTTAAACGCTACAAAATACATAGAATCGCAGGTGGAAAAGGTCAGTACATTTCCACGTTTATCGACAAAGCACTATCTTGTTTTCCAGCTATGTCCGAAGGAATTAACAATTTGTATGTAACGACACGTGCAGGTGGCATCCCCGATGCTCATTCTTCACGGAGCTGCAGATAAAGTGACGGATCCTCTCGTTAGTCAGTATCTGTATGATAAGTCTTCGAGCAGCGACAAAACTCTTAAGCTCTATGAAGGAGGCTATCACTGCATTCTTGAAGGTGAACCTGATGACAGGATTCTTACTGTGCTCAATGACATTATCTCGTGGCTTGATTCTCGTTGCTCCGCAAATTAGGCTTGAGTTTTTAAGGGGTTTTGTAGAGGGATTTCTTGTAGTTGGGAACCAACACCATTGATCTAGTTTAGGAAATGTGATGCTAGACAATAAAACCAAATTCATTGTGGGATATACCGAGGGTCTATTAGAAACAAACTCTCTATCCTCACAAGGTAGGGGTAAGGTCTGCATACACACTACCCTCCCCAGACCCTACAGTGTGGAATATTACTGGGTATGTTGTTGTTGTTGTCATTGTGGGATATAGGCATATGGCAATATTTTGTAACTGCTATTGTTATTGTTGGGTGATTTGGTTATGAAGCTGAAATTTAGGCGCCCAGCAAGTGAGAAACGAGGGTTCGATTCTAGGTCGAAACAAAATTATGATGATGAGATGAGTTGAGTTTAAAAGTGAGGATTCATATAGCCGAGCCCCCAACTTGTTTGGGACTGAGGCATAGTTGACGAAACTATTGTTTGTTTATTGTTTTTCATCAAACACAAAATCTTGTATTTTTGAGTTTTGGATCATTCTAAAAGATGTCAATCTTTGGTTCTAAGTCTCAAAATAGAGGAGTCACTACCCTAATTGGTGTTCATAAAAATCCGAAAATCCCAACCAAACCGAAAACCAAACCAAACCGATCAAAAAAAATGATACTTTTTGGTTTGGTTTGGTTTTGGTTTTGAAATTTAAAAATCGATCAAATTTGGTTTGGTTTTCGTTTTAATTAAAAAAAAAAACTGAACCAAATCGAATATATGAGTAGCTATTTTAAATTTATTATTACACCTATATATATGTATGCTTTTATACAAAGTTTAAAATTTTTATAATAAATATTAATCGTTTGCACTTTTAGTACAGTTCTTTACCTTTACATTATAGTTTAATTGGTAGTTTTCTTTTGTTAAGTGTAAGAATCTATTTCATGTTAAAAATAATATATTTTAAATTGAGTCCTTAAATTATTCATCACTATTTGATTCAATTATCATCAATATATCTTGGTAAATAATAGATTTCTCAAAGGGCAATAGATTTGATAGTGTTACTTTGAAAATATGATCGCCGAAATGTGTGTTTGGTAGTGTATGTCTTATATTAAGAAAAAACCTACAAATAACCGAAAAACCGACATAAACCGAATCGAGAAAAAACCGACTTAATTAGTTTGGTTTGGTTCTAATATTTAAAAAACCGACTTACTTGGTTTGGTTTCTTTTTAGGGAAAAGCCGATTCAAACCGAACCATGAACACCCCTACCCCCAATCATTTACAAGACTGCAACCACATGTCACTTTTTAGTCATTTTGTTTTTGTTTGGGATATTATTACTTTTAGTCTGCGCTAGAAATTATTTACACCTGGTAGCCGAAAAATTATATAATTTTTGTATATAATACACATAATGTATATATAAACAAACAATATATATATTTTATATATTGTTTGGTTATTATTTTTACAGCGGCTTTTATTTATTTATTTTTCATTTAATAGAATGGAAAAAACAAGAACTGGAATGAACTGCTGTAAGATCGAGGCTCCATTTGAGCACTTGTTAAAAAAATATTGAAGAAAAAATTAGTTCGAGAAAAGAAAAGTATTTGATCTGTTAAAAAAAAAATTGTAAGTTCTGTTCTATTAACAAATTAGTTTTTAGAATAGTGCACCGTAAAAATTACACGGGGCGTCCTATTTGGTCGCCCCCATTTAACCTATACCCATTTTTTAAAAAACTTCTAACTTTTATCCACTTTTTAAATAATTTCAGCCCCCTTTCTCCTCCTTCTCCTCTTTCGTTTTCTTCTTTTTCTTCTTCTTTCTTGTTTCACGTGTTGAATCATGGTGAGATTATAGGCCAATAACGTAGATTTGCTGCTTCCACAAGGCTCTATATAAACAAATCCCCGATAGCATCCTTGGAATTTCATTTCATGGTCCTGGTAAGCAAGAACAAGCACCTGTGTTGCTGCTGCCATTTCTTGCAGTACAATAACTATTTACACCACAGAATCCCCTGGCTTGGCATTGATTTTATAGCGATGACCAATTGATTTCCAAGCTCGATTCATCTCTTCCTTCAAAACTGTGTGTATAAAGCCTAAAAATACCATCAGGATCAAGAGTAGCGCGATAAATCACTGTCTTATTTGTTGTTCGAGTTGAGCTATTTGCTATTTCATTCACTTGAAAACCAAAACCATTAGAAGCATTTCTAAACAGTTGGCTTCTTGAAGTAAGAGCTGAAGTTCGCTGGTTATAAAACAAAAACTTCAGCTCTAGAGCTGAAGTTCGCCAGTTACAAAAACAAAAACTTCGCTAGTTACAAAACAAAAACTTCAGCTACTTCAGGCCCGTCTACTAGAGTGCTGAAGTTTTGCGTGATTGTCTTTGCTACTTCAGCCCCGTATGCTGAAGTTATGCGAAAAAACGGGTACGCTTGTAATTTTTTTTGCAAAGCGGACACAAATTAAAACGTGACACAAAAAGCGGACATACTAGTGCACCAGGACATATTTTTAACAAGGGAAAATAGTCGAACTTGCCTTTGTACTGATTGAGCAACTTTATACTTTGCGTCTAATCTTACCCCATCATTAGAAAAATATTTTATTTTTGTTTTTGACCCCAGACGTAGCGGCAGCTTAGTGTACCGTGCTGCTATATTTTTTTTGTTTGACCCCTAATTGAGCTCTAACATGAGTATAACTGATAATAAGTTTAAATCGTACTCAAAAATAGAGAAAAAGATATCGTTTTTGCCACAGACTTTTTCCTCGAAGTATAATTATGACACATGAAGTTCACGTATTTCATGCTGAATCATTTAACAGCAACAACAAATACAAGACAATTTGCTTGAATAAAAGTATGCACAGACTCAAAGTATAACGGAAGGTAAAATTAAGCAATTTTCAGATAGTACATGAGCAACTTTAGTCCTTTTTCCTTTAATCAATTCAGAAAATGTTATCAAACAAAGAGAAAAAAGTGCCAACTTCATGGACAAAACACCACCTAAAAAATCATAAGAGAACAACAGTGGGGAAGTAGTAGTACATAGTATATTGTGGTTGATAGAAACATTTCAATGAGACAATGGCAAAGCTTAGGATATGTTGTTGTACTGTAGTAAAAGGAGAGCCATTAATTGGACTTCATAATATTTGAGCATGCCTTTCATTGACATGATTTTACTTATGACAAAACAGTGTAATGTGTAAGGCTAAGTTTTGACTGGATTATCCCCAAGGTATAAATGTCTTCTTCTATTGTACCTTAACTTTGATGCTACAACATGCATGAGCTTGCTCATATTGCCGGTTCCAAATCTTAGTAAAGGAGGAAAGTTACGGTTGGCTGGCAGCCAGCATAAAACTTGTCAATTCATACTGAATTCTCATAAAATAACAACAACAAATGAGGTCTGGGGATGGTAGTATGTATGCAGACCTTACTCTATCTTGTAAAGGTAGAGAGATTGTTTCTGATAGACTTTCGGCTCAAAGAAAGCGTAATTCATAATGAATCCTCATAATACAAATATTTTGTATAATGATTATATGAATTGAGCTTAAATAAAGAAGTGATTATTCATATAGCCACCCTAACTTATTCGGGAGTGAGGATTAATTTATTTGTGTCTCTTTCTAGCTTTAATCCATTAACTCCCTCAAATTCCCTCGATGTTTAAACAATCTCATGTATGTTGTACTGTAGGTTACATACTACTACGAGTGCATCTGTTTCAAGTACAATATATAATGTTGCACAGTATAGAAATGAACAGTAATAGAGTATATTACAAATGTGAAATCTTAATTAATTTATAGAACACTCACTAATTAAGATTACCCTTTAAGAATTAATGAACTTACCCAAGCAAATATAATCGTTTTTTAAATGTAGAGTAGATTATGTTGGACCGGTATATTATACTGGAACTTGAGTATATTATACTGGAGTATTTTTTCGGATTTTAAACAGTATTTTTGTTCAAATTTATCTTTACATGCAAAGTGGCTAAATTTCGATTACTTTTGAAATTGTGGCTATTTTTGAATGTCCACTTATAAATCTGGCTATATTTTAATTTCTCCCGCAGATATCTGGCCATAACCCAAATTAGCCCGTCTAAAATCTTGGGCTGATTTGCGCAGCATACGTAACCCCAGATTGACTCATAAAAAATTATAAAAACATAGAAAAATAATTTTTTTTATTGTTTGATTTGTTTAATACAACCATAATAAATAAATAAATAACTTTTGTCAATCTAATTTGATAAGTAAACAAATTATAGAAGAACAAATAAACTATTGAAAAATAGTTATTAGTTGGGTGAGTTGAGTTACGACTTATGACCCACTATTTAACTCAAATTGACATGTCCATCTTTGATCCGAACAAACTTTAATTATGAATATCGTTAACTTCAGTTGTATATTAGGAAGGTCAATGTGTATTTTCTTTAACATTTTGTTGGCAATTTATTGGATCTATATTTTTCTTCCTTATAATCTTTATGTTGGAAAAAAGTGCAACAAGAAAGAATATAGTGATAGTCACTATCTCTTATTCTCCCATTTTTTTTGTCTGTCCAAGATATCCAGATCTAATTGAGAAAAGCAGATAACAAGTCAACTTCAACTCTTACTTTAATTTATATTAGTTGTACTGCGTCTAGTTCTTAATGTACTACATCTAGTTCTCTCTATAATTACTAACAGCTTTATTATCATATAAAGGCTTTCCCACGGCTAAAACTAAAGAAATTGAGGTAGAAATGACATAGGGTAGCCACTTTAAAGGGATACTATTTAGAAATTAGTCTATGCGTTTTGAATTTTAGTTTTTTATTTAATTTTTTAGGATAAAAATATCTTGAGTTGCCCTAAAATTAAGATATATAGTTTAAAATTTTAGGACAAAATAAATATTGACTAATCCCTAAATAGCATGCATGAGAATGGTTATATGTGCATTTGCCCCGAAATTGATACCGCTACAGTTGATTCGGTTCCAGTAGTGACGGATTTCCCTGATGTGTTTCCAGCTGATCTTCCGGGCATGCCGCCCAACAGAGATATTGATTTTGGCATTGATTTGTTGCCGGGCACTCAACCCATCTCTATTCCTCCTTATCATATGGCTCCTCTTAAGTTGAATGAGTTGAAGGAACATTACAGAAATTGCTTGATAAGGGCTTCATTCGGCCCAGTGTGTCACCTTGGAGCGCTCCTGTTTTGTTTGTGAAGAAAAAGGATGGTTCTACGCGTATGTGCATTGATTATCGCCAGTTGAACAAAGTTATAGTGAAGAATCGGTATCCTTTACCTCGTATTGATGACCTATTTGATCAGTTACAGGGTGCCCGAGTGTTTTTCAAGATTGATTTGCATTCAGGTTATCATCAGTTGAAGATTGGGGAGCAGAATATCCCGAAGACTGCTTTCATGACTCGGTATGGTCATTACGAGTTCCTTGTGATGTCATTTGGGCTGGCCAAAACCCCAGCAACAT